AGGGGGTGGGGGCTAGAAATGTAGCTCAGTAGAACACTCGCATATCATGTTCAAGGCCCTAGGTGGAATTCCCAGCACCACAAATAAAACCAAAAGCAACCTCCACCAAAACACACACACACACACACACACACACACACACACACACACACACACACTCGGCAATGGAAAACGTGCCTTTCCTCCCTGTATCTCTATTATAAAAATAGGAACAAAATAGGAAGTTACCTATGTCATAGGACTAACTTCATTAATGTTAGGTGCTTAATCAGTGCCTATCACCTATAAATGCTCATAAAAGTTTGCTATTCATATGAATTTTGCTCCCATATGGTCATACCATTTTGTATGGGCTTCAGCCTAATTTTGATCAATGAAAAATCTTCAATTACTTCCCCCCACCATGGGGGATCGAACCCAGGGGTGCTTAACCACTGAGTCATATCCCCCCCCCCTTTTTTTTACCATTTAGAGACAGAGTCTCAACTAAGTTGCTGAGACTGGCTTTGAACTTGCCATCCTCCAACGCAGCCTCTTGAACTGCTGGGATTACAGGCATGTGCCATAATGCCTGGTCCTCAATTACTCTTGACTAATCATCTTGGTTTTATCTATTGAAAAGTCCTAGATTTATAGTATTTTCAAGAATATTTTTATGTAAAAATACTACATATATTGGGAGGTTTTAATTTCTATCTTTGTTTTAGTTAAATACAACTAATAATTATTATTCTTTCTTTGGGATCATATGGGGGACCAAGTATAATTTAAATGTTCAAAAATAAAAACTATTACCTAATTAAACTATACCTGATAAATTAATTGCTAACTGAATGAGTCCTCTGTTAAAATGTAATCAGTTTCAAGTTACAGAATACCCCATTACAGTGGTTACAAGAAATACATATTATCTCTCATGATAAAACTTTGAAAGTGGTTGGTTGCTTGCCTGGCTCAAAGATCAACAATAGCCTTAAGGATCCACGCCCCCCCCCCCCACTTTTTTCTGTCTGTGACATTCTCAGTGGACTGATATTTTTGTTTATTTTGTTATGATTACAAGTTGATTGTCACCGCTTTGGGAATGGAAGAAAGAAGTTTTCTTTCTAGAGATTAACTTAATCAGGGAAGGAAATTAGGAAATCTTTCCAGAATTCTACAACAGATTTTCTTTTTTTTTTTTAATATTTATTTTTTAGTTATAGGTGGACACAGTATCTTTATTTTATTTGTATGTGGTGCTGAGGATCGAACCCAGTGCCTCACGCATGCTAGGCAAGCGCTCTACCTCCGAGCCACAATCCTAGCCCCTACAACAGATTTTCTTATAACTCACTGGCCAAGGCTGGGTCATACGTTCACCACTACAGTCATGACTGACAATGAGAAATAGTGTTAAATGATTGTGTTAGACTAACTGTCACCTATGTCCTGGGATTAAGGCAAGACCTACCTTCCCTGGGCATGTTACCATGAACTGGTAACTAAGAGGGCCTCTCTTAGCAAGTACTGGGGATATATGTTGGGCTGGCAACCAGGACTTTGTGCAGCACTCTCTACACTGCCCACTGCTACTTCTGCACCATTTCTAGCTAAGCACATCTACTTTACATTTTCCAGTTAGCATTTTCCAGTTCCCAAATATATTCCATACCTCTGATTCTGAATGCATTGCTCCTTATGCCTACAATGTTCTTTTTTCACATTTCCTTGTTTTTCATGGCTGCTAATTTGTGTAAGGAAATGTTTCTAATATACTGCCCTCTCCATTTCATGATTTCCTGTCTTCTAATAATCAAATCCTCCACCCACTTAGTCACTTATTCCAGGCCATATCTAAGATTTCTTAATTACTTTTCTCCCAAAATATCATTTTCTTGTAGCCTCAAGTAAAAGTCTTGTTAAGGTAGCTTACAAAGTAATACCCAGTGTCCTGCCTGAATTCATCTATAATAGCCCAGGAAATAAATTCTCCAACCTTACTATCTGGTCCTATGAACCAAAAGACAAAAATAAAAACTTTAATTCCCAACATTCACAACTGTTAAAGAGTTCTTCCTGTTTTTTTCCTTTATTAAATTATTTATTTATTCTAATTTATTATACATGATGGTAGAATGCAATTCATTTCAGATTATACATACAGAGCACAATTTTTCAAGTCACTGGTTGTATACAAAGTATTTTCACACCATTTGTGTCTTCATACATGTACTTATGGTAATGTTGTCTAACTCATTCCACTGTCATTCCTACCATCTTGCTCTCTCCTTTCCCCTCCCTCCTCTTTGCCCTATCTAAAGTTCCTCCATTCCTCCCATGCTCCCCCACCATTGTCTTTATGAGTTATCATCCTCATATCAAAGAAAACATTCAGCCTTTGGTTTTTTTGGGACTGGCTTACTTCACTTAGCATTATATTCTCCAACTCCATCCATTTACTTGCAAATTCCATGATTTTATTCTCTTTTAATGCTGAGTGATGTTCCATTGTGTATATACACCAAAGTTTCCCTATCCATTCATCCACTGGAGGGCATCTGGGTTGGTTCTACAATTTAAGTATTATGAATAGTATGCTGTTTTTAAGTCCTTTGGGTATAAACTGAGGAATGGGGATACTGGGTCAAATGATGGTTACACTCTAAATCTATCTTAATCCCTGTAAATGCAATGTATGCTAGGCAAGTGCCTTATCATTGAACTATATCCCTAGCTTCCAATGTGATTTTTTTAAAGTTGTAATATAAAAACATTTTTGGTCTTTCATCAAGAAGTTATATGCTATTACACTGGTGGCTACTAGCCAGATAACATTTTAAAACCAGAACCATTAAACAGTTTTAGACATCTCACAAAAAAGTTAATCCGTTTTAGAATATTTTAAAAACATTCTCCTTATTTACTTCTGTATAAAAACTGTAAGTAAATCAGATGGGGAAAAATGTATTTTAAATGCTGGTTCATATACTGAGCAAAGAAGGCACCATGAGAAATGAGGAACAAAAATAAAAATATCCCTGGACAAAATCCACATGTACAGAAGATGACTCAGGATGTTAAAAATAATTCATGTGAGGTAAAGCAAACATGCAACATTTATATATCATTCTCTGAGGAATGGGCATTTTTTATTACTCCTCAAGTTCCTTAGCATATTAATAACAACAGCTTGGTATATATTATCAATAAGTCCAATTGTTGTACTCAAAGAAATGCCATATTATTTTATGGTGAGTTTGCTTCTTTTTCATCTGATTCATCATCCATTACCTAAAACCAAAAAGAGAAAGAACTTAAGAATAAAGAAAAGGTTTAGAAATTGCTATTTTCCAAATTTTAATATTACTTTCATTTCTGATATAGGCTATAACAACACATGGCAATCCAATAAGAAGAAATCTATCAACATTCCCCCAAAACAAAGTTTAAATCATAACCTGACATAGTAAAATGTGTACAGATTAATTAGAGCACTGGTCTCTTTTCCATGCTTCAAAAAAGGTTTCCAGTAACAGAGTCTCAACTGTGCTAAAACTACAAATGATTAACTGGTATATCTCATAAGACCAAGATAAATGGGGTTGGGGATTTAGCTCAGTGGCAGAGTGCTTGCCAATATGCGTAGCCCTGAGTTCCATCCTTAGTCCTAAAAAAAAAGAAGACTAAAATAAATAATTGTTTGTCTTTTTTTCCCAAAAGTATTTTATTTACTTAAATATTTCCTGAGGAGGTAAATCAAACTATTATTAGAAGCCAGGTGCAATAGCACAGGTCTTTAATCCCAGCTACTCAGGAGGCTGAGGCAAGAAGATCACAAGTTTCAGGACAGCTTGGACAACTTGCAAGACCCTGTCTTAAAATATAAAAAGGGCTATGGGTGTAGCTCAATGGTAGAGGACCACTAGGATGAAGCCCTAGTATCTCCAAAATGAAAAAGAAAAATGAATCCCTAAAAACGTAAGAAAAAAAAAAGCCATATTATTAATTCATTATTTTGGTCTGATGCAAATAAAACAACATTTTCAACTTTTTTTAATATTTATTTTTTAGTTGTAGTTGGACACAATATCTTTATTTTTTTTATATGGTGCTGAGAATCGAACCCAGTGCCTCATGCATGCTAGGCGAGCGCACTATCACTTGAGCCACATCCCCAGCCCCTCATTTTCAACTTTTATAAAAATGAAGATTTTTAGTGAAAAAAAATACTAATAAATACTTACAGAAAAATAAATGAAAAGGTGAATATCTTTAGATGAGCTAATATATTACTCAGATAAGAAAGACCAACTCCTTTGGTGAGGAAAAGAACTATATAAATCCATGAGTGTTTTTTATCACCACCACACCTACTGCCAATTCAAGTTTACAATCCAACAGTCAATTCATCACTCCACCCTAGACAAATGAATAAAAATGTTCCTTTTCTTTTTTAAT